CTCTACTGTCTCTTCTGTTCTACTGTCTCTGTCTGACTCTACTGTCTCTTCTGTTCTACTGTCTCTACTGTCTCTACTGACTCTACTGTCTCTACTGCTCTACTGACTCTACTGTTCTACTGTCTCTCCTGTCTCTACTGTCTCTACTGTCTCTATTGTCTCTACTGTCTCTACTGTCTCTGTCTCTACTGCTCTACTGACTCTGTCTCTACCATCTCTAATATTCTACTGTTTCTGTTTCTCTCGCTCTTCTGTTCTAGTGTGTCTACTGTTTCTTTCTCTATTGTCTCTACTGTCTCTGTCTCTAATGTCTGTCCTCTTTCGGTCAGGTGTGATTCTCTACATCTTATTGGTCGGTTATCCTCCGTTCTGGGATGAAGACCAACATCGACTCTACCAGCAGATAAAAGCTGGAGCTTATGATGTAGGTCACCTGACCTCTGACCTGTGTCACATGACCTCTGACCTGTGTCACATGTTTCCTTACCTGTGTCACATGACTCCTGATGCTCTCATTGTGTCCTAGTTTCCTTCACCGGAGTGGGACACGGTGACTCCTGAAGCCAAAGATCTCATTAATAAGATGTTGACCATCAATCCGGCAAAACGCATCACAGCTGCCGAGGCCCTCAAACACCCGTGGATCTCAGTGAGAGCCTCTTTTATATGATCACAGTGACTTACCTTCATCCTGACATGATGATGATGATGTGTTCTCGTCCTCCCAGCATCGCTCCACAGTGGCGTCCTGTATGCACAGACAGGAAACCGTCGAGTGTCTGAAGAAGTTTAATGCTAGGAGGAAACTGAAGGTAGGTGGGGTCAGAGATCAGAGTGTGTCAACATCTGATGAATAAAGACGACGCCCATCTTCCATTTATACACGTTTCAATTATATATTTTACTGTATTATATTGTATATGATTATTAATATTATTACAATATTCCCTCCCTACCTCAGGGGGCGATCCTGACCACCATGTTGGCCACCAGAAACTTCTCAGGTAAGACCTCCACCAATTCTTTGTGTTTGGGGTCAAAGGTCATATGTTCTGACTCAAGGTGAGTTCTAGTCTGACTCTTAGCGACAGAGACGACAATCTCACAGCTTTTCATTTTGTAATTGCAACTGATACAACCCTTTGTTTTTGAACACACACATTTGGCCAGTGGCTTCACTCTTGGCCTTTCCATTGAGAATGTGGCCCAACAATGATTCTGCCATATCAGGTTGAGTTTGGATTCATTTTTGTGTAAT